TTTTTTTTATTTATTTCATTAGGCTGGATGTTTATGACATCATTATCTGTAATTGATAAACTATTTATTAATTGTATCTTCTCCATGAGCAGATTGTGATTGAATGTGTACATAGGATGTTTGTGTACTTATTATGCAAAATCGATTGTTTTTTGTTGGTTAAGTACTTTTCTTCTTAGCCTTTGAATTTGTTGTACTACCGATTATATAAAGAACACATGGCCTGACCACTTGAACTGTTCACGTGTGAAATTTATTTAAAAATATGTTTTTAACTTTAAGGTGACCAGATTTTGGGTGTAAACCAATAACATTAGTTTCTTGCTTAAAGCTTAAATTATGAGGATGCACATAATCATTAGATTCATAAGGTACTGAAACATTGTAAACCAATTTACATTTAAGTTATTCAACAAATATATGAATCTTTGTAATGAAACTTGCATGTCTCTAGGCTAGTTTGTGATTTAACTATGGATCATTGTTTTCTTAAAAATATCATAAGGTTTATGTGACCTTGATTTCATCAGAATCTTTTGTGGTGTTACCGATTTCATCAAATGCTCCAACTTCTAATGTAATTATCATTAGCCTAACAAATGACAATTAAAATGTAATTATTATTATTATTATTATTATTATTATTATTATTATTATTATTATTATTATTATTATTTTGTATCGGGTTCTGTATCTTTTGTAATATGGGTTAGGTGGATTATTAAGTGTGCATCAGCATATAAATGATTTAATTTTCTATAACTTGATTAAATATATTTTACAAAATAATAATTAGATCTGGTTTCTACTGTTTGTAGTTTGCATTGCTAGAAATTCTTCAGTTGATGTTCCTTTTTAAGTTCTCCTGTTTGCTATTTAATCTTATGTGCATAAGGAGATACTTTTGTAATGTTCTTTCACTCAACCTAAGCATTCTAAAAAAAAAATTGACTTATTATACATACCTTTGTTTAGTTCTACTAAAAAATGACCAATATCTTTATTTCCGGTTTAGTAGCACGATGCGATTCTGAAATTCATTCGAAAGTGGCTAATTTCATATTCAAATATTTTGTAGTGGTTAACGGATAGGCATAAGAAAGCGCTTTACGAGACATTGGAGAAGGTCAAAGCCGGTAATCAAATGATTGCTTACTAAAACAAGGGTCTTATCTCAATAATTCCTTCATCTACTATACCATTATATTTTATACATGTTTTGGCCTAGATTAACATTATTATTGTTATGAAAATGGGGCATTTGCCCTAGTTCAAGCAGGTTGAGACTAGCACTATCAGTGGAGGAAGCCATACTACTTCGCGAATTTCCGCGACGCCGCAAGGTAATGTGTTTTTAATATGTGTTTTTGCAATATGCTCATTTTTTGAATATGCACTAGTTCAGCCTCATGCCTTATCATGTGTTATTAATATGCTATTGTTGGTCATAAATAGTGACAAATAGAATCGTAAGCTTAAAAAAAAAGGAATAGGTGAATATGATAACTTTGGTATATGCAAAGGTTATAAATGAATTTGTATTAATAAGGGGTTAATTAGCATGGTATTGAATTTCATGTTCATAGTCGGTTAATAAGTATGCTCTAGTTTTATGTATAACGTTCGAGAAAATAAGCATGATGAATTAAGTTCAATATTATCATGAATACAGGTTATAAATTGAATTAATAAGGGTTAATAAGTATGCTCTAGTTTTATTCTGAATGAATAGCATGTTTTTAGTGTCTGTTATGTGTTGTACGTTTTGTTTTGGTTGTTTTTTTCATCGGAGTATAGGTGTCGTAAGTTTGCCCGTATGTTGTTCAATCTTTGTAGATGGATAACATGCGAGACAAATTACTAATTCTCACTCTTTTAGGTATAATTGTAATATCTTTTAATTGGTTTGGTAATTTTATAAATAAATATATAATGAGTATAAAAGTGTGATATAAATCATATTAAATGGTAAGGGGTGCAAATTTCTCATCCTTTAATTATTGTTCAACCCAAACAAGTTATAAGTCATTCCAACTCTATGAAACTCACGGCCCAAAATAAATGTCCACCTCTTTTAGTAAATAATTGCCTCTCAACATAATCTCTTCCAACAAAATATGTTTGGGAAATTTTCATTTATACTTATTGATTTTTAAGTAATTGCAATTTTACCATTGAAATCAATAAATTTATGTATATGCCTAAAAGATAAAAAGTAATTATATTGATGCCTAAGCATCTTCTCTCTCTCCCTGTAATTCATGCTTTCAGTTACCTTATCAAACCAAACCATCTTCTCTCTCTCCACCGTGAATTACGATGTTGTTATAAAAAAAAAACAAAATCCTTTTTTGATTTCGCATGACCGCATGTTGTTACAATAACAATACAATGTTATGTAACCAGACATATAACCCTACATAAATACCAGAAATATACCAGAAACAGAACATAACAGACATGTAACCCTACATATATACCCGACATATACCAAAACTGAACAATGTTCTGTAACCGAGCATATAACCCTAACATATATATCATATATATAACCGTTATAAATTTTATCATAAAACAAAACAAATATACCAATTCACAGTGAACACAAGATAGAAAAAATAAAAAATAAAAAAAAGCAACAGATATACACTTTGATATACCGAAGATATACATATAACAAAAAAAAACCGAAAATATACTGTACATATACTCCAAAATAAATGAAACGAAAAAAAATCTCAGAAATCATCTTCTTCAACCTCCCGCAACTTCTCAGAAATATACTCCCTCCCCGTCCTAAGATCCGAATTCTCCTCTCCTCCACCTCCCGACGTCAGCACCCTTCCAATCTCCCGCAGCGGTAGCGGCTTCAATCTCAGGCAGCGGCTTCACGGCTTCAATCCCAATTTTTTTTATTAATAACAGCCGCCCAGCGGCAGCGGCTCT